ACAAAGACCAAGTTATAAAGTATTCAACACAATAAACTAAAGTAAAACACGAGAAACAAAAGAACAACTAAAGAATTTAGAAATGTCCGGAAATATGTACCAAACAACGTTTGCCCACTTTCTTCAAGGTCAAGCCGAGAGGTATCAGGGTTTGACGAAGAAGAATCTGGCGTGTGCTGTTGCGCTTTTGGCGACGACGGCGACTCGACCGGAGTTGAAGGTGATTTTGATATTTTACGCGGTCGGCCGCGTTTTTTTGATATTTTAGCTGGAGTTGGCGAGGTAGATGCATCCATTGCGTTTTAAACGTTTTGGTTCTTGTGGAAATAGAACTATCCTAAACACGAGACGTCATCATAGAATTATTTCAATGAATGTGCATCATCATCATCATCATCATCATGGATACTTATGAAATTGACAGGGCCCGTTGGAACTATAACCTCTGACTGGATTGAAACATATGAAACGAATAAACAGACAGCGTTACTTGTGCTCGTGAATTTCATAATAAAGGTTATTTATTGATTTAAAATATATAAATTAAATATTTTGTGTGCCATTTGAGATTTCTTTTAATATTTTATCGTGTTCGTGCTGTCCTTTAGTCTGCTGGTTGTCCAGAGTCAATAAATGCCGACTCTTTTGAAGATGAGGACCACATTGTTGATAATCTAAAAGCATTACAAGATGCTTATGAGAAGGTATGCGCATAATTTCACCCGGTTTTTTTCAACAAATTCTTTAGAAATGATAAATTTTAATGTTTAGCTTACCGTCTTCATGCATTGTATAATTTAGGAGTCAATATCCGATTATCCTCTTGTATCAAAATCAAAAGACTTTAAAAAATTTCGAAAAAACTTGCTTGAATTCTTTCATCGTTTAATAAAACAAATAAAACATTCAATACTATATGATGAGGTATTCTTTGAAACCGTTGCTTCTTGGGTGATTGCTATGTCGAGGTATGTTTTGCTTTCATTATTTCAGTCATTATGATTACTAACCTTAATTTGACCAAGAAATGTTCTTTGCAATAATAACATCTTTTTTTATTCAATAATCTCCAGTTCTGTATTCCGCCCATTCCGCCACACAGCAACTACAATAACACACGCAATCGTAAGTTCGTTGTGTGATGCTGCTCAAGAAGTACTCACTGAGTTGAACATTGCACATCGACAATTGAACGCTGAACATAGAAAAAGTCGAGGCACGCGAAATGCAAGGTATAATAGTTTAGAAACAAAGACCACAGAGCTTAATGATAAAAAGGAACAATTGCATTCTTATCTTAACGAATTTTTTGATTGGTGAGTATTTTTTTTTGTTTATTGGCTCGATTATTTTAAGTTCAAACTGAATTCTTTTCGCTATCGGTAATAGTGTATTTGTTCATCGATATCGTGATGTCGAGGCAATGATCAGGGCGGAATGCATAAAGGAACTGGGCCTGTGGATTTCAAAGTACCCTGAGCTCTTTTTAGATGATACGTATCTACGATATATAGGCTGGCAATTATCCGACAAAGTGAGTTTGGCACATGCTATTTCAATATACGTCTAATTCCCGCTTCGTTATAAAAACATTAATTAATAAAAAACGATATTTTGACCATAGTCACCACTAGTACGCATCGAATCTGTAAAATCACTTTCCCGACTCTACGCAAAAGAAACATTCAAAACCTCTCTTCGCCATTTCACTGAACGCTTCAAAAGCCGAATCCTCGAAATGGGATTAATGGAATCCGACATCACCGTGCGCATTTCGAGCATTAATCTCCTCGCACAAATTTCGCAAGCTGAACTATTGGAGGATTCGGACGGGTACGAGGATCAGATTTCGTTATTGATTTATAGCGATAATCCGAAAGTGAGAAAAGCTGTGACACCGTTTGTTAGAGATATTTTGAATACAGAGTATATCCAAAAAAAGGTTGAGGAAGTGGAGGCTTTTTTCTCGAGTAGTAGTAATAGTAATACTAGTACTAGAGGTAGAACCAGAAGCAGAAGTGCGAAGACATTGGCGTTAAATCCTGGCAGTGCAAATATCAGAAAAGATTGGATTACGTTTAAGTGTTTGGCTGAGTTTCTGGTAAAATCCAGCAAAGCCATCAAAAGAGCTACAAATTCTACCGAAAACAACGACGACGACGCAACGATGATCATGGACATTGAAGAGTCTGAAGAAAGCGATGAGGATATCGAGATTGCGCAAAAAATCGGCGGCGGAAAAAAGAGTCGCGTCATTTTAGCAATTCAAGATTTGTTTAACGAGTTACAAACACTCAAAGACTGGAAGACCCTCGCTGATTATCTCACAAAAGACCATTCATTAACTAGTAATAGTCATCTTACGTCTTCGGAGAGTGCGGCTGCATCATCTTCCTCGACGGTTAATATTGCTACAAATACTACCACTAGTGATTCAGCAAATATTGTCGAGGACTGTTATAGATTAAATGAACCGGAAGAGACTGTGCTTGTTGAGGTTCTTATTGCTTCGATAAATTTAAGTCTTGAAGAACCTTTGAAAGCAAAAGATAAGAAAGACGTAAGTTTTGTTTTTTCAATCTAAAAAAAGAAATCGATCTGCATTATTTACGAATGTGCAGTACTCCATATGTACATGGAGCTCTCATGTGGTTTGTTACTAATAATAAACTATTTTATAGGTTGAGGCACGCCAAGATGAAATAGGTTCTGAAATTGCAAGAACAATGGTGAAAGTATTACCGCGACTATTAACAAAATACGCGCCCGATGCTGGTCGCATAGCTGAGGTATTGCAAATACCACTGTTGATGAAACTGGATGTGTATCAAGATCTTCGTATGACTAAGGTAATTTTTTTTACTTACACGCATATCTATTTTAGATGTGCTTTCAATTATTCCTTTTATAAAAGTCACATCTTCTTTTTAGGCATACGAAACTCTAGTAGATGATGTGAAAGCGTTGTTTCTCAAACACACCCAACCTTTGGTTCTTGCAAATGCTGCTGAAACTTTCCGTCATATGGCAAATATTAAGAGTCTCGCGTCAATAACAGAAACAAAGCTCGTTGAATTACAGGAAGAAGTTATACAAGCCTTTAGAAAAGAGTATGATGCTAAGGTATCTAATTTAGATAATATAAAATTGACAACTTTTTAAACTATCAGAAAAAATCGAAATAATGCAATAAAATATCACGGTTATTTCATAACAATATTCGCCATTGTTATAATAATTTATATTATTTTCTTAAAATCATTCCAATTAATATCTTATGGAAGAACAAAAAAATCCGGTTTTTTTAAAAAAATAGGAATTATCTTTCCGTCCTCTCAGCAGCGACCAAGTTCATTCAATCAAAGCTAGTTTAAATCGCCTGGAACAATTGATCTCCTTTATTAATATTGTGCCGGCGGTAGAAGAAAAAGATGAGAACGGCACTGACGTGTTTGATTGTATTTTGGCGGTTACGCAGCGTGGCATGCTTCCAAATAAAAAAAATGATGAGAAGGTACGGTTATTAACTTTTTTGTTAATTAGTTATAAGAAATGCTGTAATAAATTTTTTTATTTTTCTGTTTTGTTTAATTTATATGTGAACAGATTATTATTTCCGCAATAAACTTTATTTGGTTTTATATAATGTGGAAAGTTAACACATTGACGGTGAATGAAGACGAAATTCAGGATGCGCAAGCACAAGTTGTAGATCATTTTTTAACGCGCCGGGATAATGTTGTGAAAATATTGGAAGGGTTGGTGACTTCTGGAGATGCTGTGAATAGTGTTCGAAAAATGGTTATTTATTTTTTTTATTATTAGTACTATTATCTATTATAGATTATGACAAAACAACTATAAAATTAATAATTGAATTCCCATAACCTTCACAGGCATACAAGACATTAGGGAATATATACTGGCTATTTGCATGTGATTTCTTCTATCTACCAAGTTGTCCTAACATTGCGAAGCTGAGACTCTTGTGCTCGAATTCAACGCAAGAGACACTTGTGGCATTCGTCGAAAACGAAATCATAAAACATAAACAGGAAATCGCTGAGTCAGTTAAACAAATGCGAAACAAACCTCATAATGAGCATGATGAAATTGATAATGAGGAAGAAAATAACAACGAAGATGAGGAAAGCTCAAAGAGATGTGTGTATTTTTTGTTTATAAAGTTTAATATTCGAGAATTTACAAAAATTTTTAAAATTGCTTTATAATTTTATAGTGAAAAATTCCGATAATTATCTTGCAGCATATCAGAAACACGAATTTCTCGACATAATCGGCACACTGTTGCGTGGTGCACGTGGCGGGATCTTTAATATCAAATTTTCGGCGACTGTTATTGCACAGTATGGAAAATTTGGTAGCGATGTAGACGAACTTATTAAAAAGGTCATTCAAGAGTTCAAAGATTGGAAATACGAAACCGAGCCACAAGTTTTTTATGAAATCTGCTCGGATTCTTTGCTAAAAGTAACTTATATTATTTTAATACGCAAAATTATATTGGTTCTTTCTAACCATAATATCCAATTATGTCTATATTACAATAGATATTCGAAATGTACGAACAAATAGTTGACCGAGGACCCAACGACAGCATTGAATCGTTACAAATCACAATAATGGAATCCGCGTCGGCGCTCGCACGCATCTTTGCAAATACTCTACACCTACGTGAGACCTCGGTCATGCAATCGCGGAAAGATTCCGACCACATTGTTGAGATGCACACGCGGTTATTCGAACATGCGATCGAGAATATGGCTGGCTTTAAACATGGGATGAAAAATATAAAGATGTTGAAATATTGGATAAAATTCTTTAAACCATTGACAGCATTACTGGGCGGTATTAGTATTAATGATGCGTTGACTATGTGAGTTTTTTTCGTTATAAATTTTTAATTTGTAATTATATATTATTGATGGCATCCCTTTTTATTGGTACGTCTCATCTTTATTCGTTTATAACAGTGATACAAAACTTAAAGCCAGTTTAGAAGCGAACTTGATCAAGGTACCTGCTGAACACGATAAAGATTGGGAAGCATATTATGGATACGTGCAGAAGATTCACAAGATACTTGTCAAGTTTGGAGTCAGGAGTCCTGGTAATTAATTTTTATTTTGTATTTCTTTGTTAATCATTTTATTATTCTTTTAAACTCGGAAAAATGTTTTTAAAATCAAAATCTGTGTTTAAAAATTATTTCTACAAGTTATCAATGAAGAATTTAACAAGAGACCTGCAACAGCATCTGGTCTCAGCAGTAGCGCGCGACGGAAACGTAAGACAACAGCAGCAACTACTACAAAGAAAAGTAATCTTAGTGATCGCATCAACAAAAAAACAAAAAAAACCAATAATGATGAGAATGCAAACATTAGAGAAAGTCAAGATAGAGATGACGATAACGACGGTGACATCAATGATGACGATGCTGCATCTTTTGCGTCTCCCAAATTATTACATAGACGAATCAATAAATTTAGTAAAAAGACTACTACTACTGCTGGTAATTCGAAAGAAACCCCTAAAAACAGCAAAAAACGTGCATCGCCATTTGTAGATGAAGCTGAGTCTATAGTAGGAACATCGACTAGCGGCGGCGACACGACTCATCCTGCACAACGTAAGAGGCGAAGAAAACAATCTTCATCACCTACGACTACTAAAAAAACGATGACGAAAAATAAACATAAAAGTCCTGAAATTGTGATCGAGGATGAAGCAGAGAAGGAAGATGAAAGATCTAATGATAATGAAGACGATGATGATAATAATGTCTTAACAGCAACAACACCACCACCAGAAACTTCAACAGACTCCGATTCCGCAACATCTTTCCAAAGTCTGCCGAATGTTTATATAACGCGAAGTGGTCGAAAATCTAAGTAAGTTCATAAGTGAAAAAGTAAAAAAAAAACTATTTGATGCCATATCTTATATTCTAATATTTAACTATGATCACTAAGCACAATATCCATTACTTGAAGAAAGACTTGTTGCATGAGTTATGGAACTATATAATAGATAAAATATCATAATATAAAATATAGCAATATGAAAAGCAAAATCAATTTTGTAAACTGATGAATTTAAATATCTTTATCCTGATATTATCAACTTCAAATTCTCTGATTGATGGTTAAGTAAATTTTTATGTCATCATGATCTTTCAAATTATTATTAGATAACTGTTGCGTGATATCTCTCTGAAAATCTTATTGAAAAATAAAGTAAATTTTTAAGCTTTATTTTATTAAAATATCATCAACATGAGTTTCCAATAGAATATATTAAAAATATAGATAAAATACTATTATCTTTTGACCTTTCTTGTATTATAACTCTTGAGCAATGTGGTGTCAAGATCATTAGTATTCAAACAATAGGGCATGAAAGAGCTTATTTTACCATAATTCTTGAATGTCTTGCTAATAGTATAAAACTTCTTCTTACATATATTTTCAAACTAAAAAATATTCCACGTGAAAGCTTTTCTCAAGGTATTATTATTCATATTAATGAAAAAGGATGATGTAATAAACAAGAAATGAATCATTGGATTGATACTGTTTGGACTAAACATAATGAAATGAAAAATTCAAAGTCTTTTCTTGTTTTGAATTCATTTAGAGATCATTTAGTTGAATCAATTAAATGAAATTTCAAAGAAAAGAATACTTATCTTGTAGTTATTCCAAATGGATTAACTAGCAAACTTCAACTGCTAGATGTTACAATTAATAAAAGTTTTAAACAAAAGGTAAATTAATTTTTTTATTATTATATAAAATATATTTATTGAATTTTTAATTTATTAGATATGTAATTATTATAATAAATGAATAAATAGCCAATGAAGTTCATCAATTAATACTAGCCAGACATATTTAAAAACTATCATATACAACAATTACATAATGAATTAAAAAATCATAGAATGATATTGATCCTAACTTAATTAGAAAAGTATTCAAATATTGTGATATTTTGATAAGAATAGATAGAACAGAAGATGAATTGGTATTTGATTATGAAAATTTAGTAAAAGAAGATAGTGATAAAAATTTAATAATTGATTCTATTGATGGAGAGATATATAATGAAGTAGAAGCTTATGAAAATGATTAGATAAACAAAGAATAGTTAGAGATATTAGATAAATAAAATTTTGTTATTATATCCAGATATTCCCATGGAATAGGAGTATAATTTTTTGAATTATACTATGTAAAATATCTGGGTCTAAATCAAAAATTGAACTCAAAAATCATTATAGGATATAAATCATAGGGGGATCTATTAGTTAGCAGTTTATGGTAATCTGTCTATTTACTTAAGAATAATAATAATATAAAAATAAAAATATAAATTAATTTATATTGTTATATCTTCATATTATAATAAACTTTTTAATTTTAAAAATTATTCATAATATGATATAGATATTAAATTTCTATTATTTAATCTATTTTCTAATATAATTAGATTTATATTTTTTTATAATTATCTTTTTTATAATTATTTTTTTAGTTAATTAATTATAATTAAAAAAATCTTTTATAATTATATCTCTTTTTAATTATTTAATTTGACTTCCTAATTTGCTTTTTTAGATATGATAATTATAGAGATTTGCTAACTTTTATATTCTTTTGTTTCATTTTAAATTTAAAATTACTGATTTATTTATTATTATCTTTCTCATTTTAATTTTTAATTATCAAAAATATATTAATATTATTATAATTTTCTTGTTTATTTTATTCAGTTTATTATCATTAAGATTTTAATTAAATAGTAATATCATTATTAACATTTTCATTATCACTTGATTAATTTTCAATTTCTAATTATAAATTAATGCTGTTTACATTTTTGAATTTGGTATTAATTGCAAAATATTTAGTTATTTTACTAGATTTAATTGCTATATTTTCGTGGTGCCGTAAGCTAAATTCTGTAATCAGCTTTGATCTCATTATTAACTAACTTTATATATTTTTGCAAGATTAGTAATTCTTGATGCTTAATAATATTACGTTTACGAGAGAATCTCTATATCAAATAAAATAATTATTGGCTAAATTATTCGAAATATTGTGTATAGTAATCATTATCATTATTAGAATATATACATACATGAATTACTATTACTATTGCTATTATTACTATTATTACTATTATTATTACTATTATTATTACTATTATTATTATTATTATTATTACTATTATTATTACTATTATTATTATTATTATTATTATTATTATTATTATTATTA